TCGAATCTGCGACCTGTCGGGCTTCAGTCCTGCCGGCACAGGGGTTTAACCCACTGCGCCACTGGGTAAATGAGAATGTTGCAATTGGCCACCTTGATTAGCACTGAATAGCCTTGCAGCTTCAAAGCCTGGTTGATTGCTGCCTGGGGGATCCTTTGTTGGGATGTGTTAGCTGCAAGAGTTCTTTCTTCCAACCTGGACATTCCACAGATATCTAAACAATTGAAGTGGTGCCCAACTGCATTCATTTTACAGTGGTGATGAATCCTGAGGGCCCTTCTACACCACCATATAATCCAGTATATCAAGGCAAATAATCCACATTATCTACTTTGAACTGGATAATCTGAGTCCTCACTGCCATAGAATCCATTTCAAAGCAGGTAATCTGGATTTTATTCAGCGGTGTAGAAGGGGCCTGAGACACATCAATGGAGTTGCAGTTTCCCGAAGTCTTCAGCTCTCTCTGCCAAAGAGTGTTGGTGCCTCACCAAACTACATATCCCAGGAGTCCGGAGCACTGAGCCATGGCAGTTCCAGTAGTGTTGAAGTGCATTAATTATAGATATCCCCTTTATGCTATTGGACACCAATTGGAACTGATAAGTTTAACAGTCTGGAATGCTGGGAGTTGTAGTTTAGCGAGGTCCTTGCACTCTTTAACAGCAGTGGTTCCCAACATTTGGTCCTCCAGGTGTTTTGGACTTCAGCTCCCACAGTTCCTAACAACTGGTAAGGTGGGTTGCTATAGGTTTTTTGGGCTGTATGGCCATGCTCCAGAAGCATTCTCTCCTGATGTTTCACCTGCATTTGTGGCAGGCATCCCCAGAGGTTGAGAGATCTGTTGGAAACTAGTCAAGTGAAGTTTATAAATCTATGGAAAATCCAAGGTGGGAGAAAGAACTCTTGTCTGTTGGAGCTAAGAGTGAATGTTTCATTGGACACTTTAATTAGCATTGGATGGCCTGATAGTTTTGTTTTTTAGGTGCCTTTTTGTTGCCTTGGGGAATTCCTTGTTAAGAGGTGATTAGCTGTTCCTGATTGTTTCCTGGCTGGAGTTCCCCTGTGTTTGAGTTTTGTTCTTTATTTACTGTTGTAATTTTAGAGTTTTTTTAAATACTGGTAGCCAGATTTTGTTCATTTTGATCGAAACTCATGGAGTTGCAGTTTCACAGTCTTCAGCCCCCTCTGCCAAAGAGTGCTGGTGCCTCACCAAACTACAAATCCCAGGAGTCCGGACAACTGACCCATGGCAGTTCCAGTGGGAGAGAAGCCGTACCAATGCTCCGAATGTGGGAAAGGTTTCAACTCAAGCATTGAAGTGCATTACAGCAATTATACGGTGTTTGTTGTTGTTCATTTGTTCAGTCATGAACGTGACTTCATGGACCAGTCCATGTCAGAGCTCCCTGTTGGTCGTCACTACCCCCAGCTCCTTCAAGGTCAATCCAGTCACTTCAAGGATCCCATCCATCCATCTTGCCCTTGGTCTTCCTTTTTCCTTCCATTTTCCCCAGCCTAATTGTCTTCTCTAAGCTTTCCTTTCTTCTCATGATGTGGCCAAAGGACTTCATCTTGGCCTCTAGTATCCTTCCCTCCAATGAGCAGCCGGGCTTTATTTCCTGGAGGATGGACTGGTTGGATCTTCTCGCAGTCCAAGGCACTCTCAGCACTTTCCTCCAACACCACAGTTCAAAAGCCTCTCTCTTCCTTTGCTCAGCCTTCCTTATCGTCCAGCTCTCACATCCGTAGGTGACTACAGGGAAGACCATGGCTTTGACTAGGCAATGGATCTTTGTTGCCAGTCTGATGTCTCTACTCTTTACTATTTTATCGAGACTGGACATTGCTCTCCTCCCAAGAAGGAAGCGTCTTCTGATTTCTGCATCTGCACTCATCTTTGCGCCTAGAAATACAAACCCTGTCACGGCCTCCACATTTTCTCCCTCTATTTCCCAGTTGTCAATCATTCTTGTTGCCATAATCTTGGTTTTTTTGACGTTTAGCTGCAACCCGGCTTTTGCGCTTTCTTCTTTCACCTTGATGAGAAGGCTCCTCAGCTCCTCCTCGCTTTCGGCCATCAGAGTGGTGTCATCTGCATATCTGAGGTTGTTGTTTCTTCCAGCAATTTCCACCCCAGCTTTGCATTCGTCAAGCCCCGCACATCGCATGATGTGTTCTGCATACAAGTTGAATAGGTTGGGGGAGAGGATACAACCCTGCCTTTCCCAATATACGGTATAGATACCCCCTTTCTGCTGTTGGACACCACTTAGAACTGATAAGGTTAGCAGTATGGAATCTCTCTAATCTTGACAGATTAGAGAGATGATTGGCCAAAACTAACAAAATGAAGTTCAACAGGGACAAATGCAAGATACTCCACTTTGGCAGGAAAAACGAAATGCAAAAATACAGAATGGGGGACGATGAGGCCTGTCACGAGAGCAGTACGTGTGAAAAAGATCTTGGAGTCCTCGTGGACAACAAGTTAAACATGAGCCAGGAATGTGATGTGGCGGCAAAAAAAAGCCAATGGGATTTTGGCCTGCATCAAGAGGAGCATAGTGTCTAGATCTAGGGAAGTCATGCTCCCCATGCTCTATTCTGCCTTGGTTAGACCACACCTGGAATATTGTGTCCAATTCTGGGCACCACAATTCAAGAGAGATGTTGACAAGCTGGAATGTGTCCAGAGGAGGGCGACTAAAATGATCAAGGGTCTGGAGAACAAGCCCTATGAGGAGCGGCTTAAGGAGCTGGGCATGTTTAGCCTGAAGAAGAGAAGGCTGAGAGGAGATATGATAGCCATGTATAAATATGTGAGAGGAAGCCACAGGGAGGAGGGAGCAAGCTTGTTTTCTGCTTCCTTGGAGACTAGGACGCAATGGAACAATGGCTTCAAACTACAAGAAAGAAGATTCCATCTGAACATGAGGAAGAACTTCCTGACTGTGAGAGCTGTTCAGCAGTGGAACTCTCTGCCCCGGAGTGTGGTGGAGGCTCCTTCTTTGGAAGCTTTGAACAGAGGCTGTGTGCTGGTACAGATGTACCAGGAGTTCCAATTCTGTTTGCTTTGCATTAAATGTTTGTTTGCAATCCCAGGCTTGGGATTTTGCAGCAGGGTGGCTTCCTGTTATAGTTCGCAATCATAGGGCAAGCCACCTGTCAATTATAGTTAGGTTCCCTGGTCCTGCCCCTTTTTGGGTTTTTGGAGGGAATAGGAGCCTTTTTGAGTTCAGTCCATACAGAAAAGCCTTTCACAGGACATGAAACCAAGAGCTCCTGTAGAAAGCTTCGTCTTCTACGGCTTGGCCGGGGAGATATACAGCCCACAGCTTGGCCGAGGATCATACAGCCTTACAGCTCCTTTGCTGAGGGACTTCAGTCAGCCATCACTGAAACCTGACCTCCTTTTTCCCTGGAAGTCTACAAAGCTCTGCTTGGCAAGGGTCGCTTGCGGAAGCCAGAGGCAGTTGGTACCGGGTGCAGGGGCTCCACGCCAACAGAGGCAAGTACAGACTGCCGAGATTAGAAGTTAAGGATTTCCCAATTAGTTAAATTACAGTTTATGAAGATAGTGCCTGTTCCCTGTGGACAAGATTGAGAGAGAGAGAGCCAATAGAGTGTTAAGAAAGCTTGAAAGTACCTGTTTGTTTTTCATCAATAAAGAACTTTGTTGGACTTACTTTAAGCCTCTACAGAACTTTGTTTTGGGGAGATCCAAGGGCCTTTAATCTGAGGCAGCCCCGGCGTCCCGTTGGGCACACAGAATTTATGTCGTGTCTACAGTCATATGCACAGGCCCAGCATGCGACAGCACAGGCTGGATGGCCATCTGTCGGGGGTGTTTTGAATGCAATATTCCTGCTTCTTGGCAGAATGGGGTTGGACTGGATGGCCCAGGAGGTCTCTTTGATTCTATGATTCTATGAGTTCTAGTTTAGCGAGAGCAAAAGCACGCAAAAGCTGGGTTGCAGCTAAACATAAAAAAAAACCAAGAGTATGGCAACAAGAATGATTGACAACTGGGAAATAGGGGGAGAAATCGTGGAGGCCGTGACAGACTTTGTATTTCTAGGCGCAAAGATGAGTGCAGATGCAGATTGTGGCCAGGAAATCAGAAGACGCTTCCTTCTTGGGAGGAGAGCAATGTCCAGTCTCGATAAAATAATAAAGAGTAGAGACATCAGACTGGCAACCAAGATCCATTGCCTAATCAAAGCCATGGTATTCCCTGTAGTCACCTACGGATGTGAGAGCTGGACCTTCGGGAAGGCTGAGCCAAGGAAGATCGATGCTTTTGAGCTGTGGTGTTGGAGGAAAGTTCTGAGAGTGCCTTGGACTGCGAGAAGATCCAACCAGTCCATCCTCCAGGAAATAAAGCCCGACTGCTCATTGGAGGGAAGGATAGTAGGGGCCAAGAAGAAGTCCTTTGGCCACATCATGAGGAGACAGCAAAGCCTGGAGAAGGGAATGATGCTGGGGAAAATGGAAGGGAAAAGGAAGAGGGGCCGACCAAGGGCAAGATGGATGGATGGCATCCTTGAAGTGACTGGACTGACCTTGAAGGAGCTGGGGGTGGTGACGGCCGACAGGGAGCTCTGGCGTGGGCTGGTCCATGAGGTCACGAAGAGTCGGAGACGACTGAACGAATGAACAACAACAGTTTAGCGAGGCCCCTACACTCTTTAACAGCAGTGGTAACTTTTGGTCCTCCAGGTGTTTTGCACTTCAGCTCCCACAGTTCCTAACAACTGGTAAACTGGCTGGGAATTTCTGGGAGTTGAAGTCCCAAACACCTGGAGGCCCAAAGGTTGGGAACCACTGCTTTAGAGGGAGGGAGTTGGAAAGCTAAAACTCCCAGGGTTGCATAGCAGCGAGCCAGAGCAGCCTGCATTCATTCCAATCCCAAGAGGGAAAGGAGTGACCAGTGGTCAGGCAAAGGAGTGTGTCTGTTGCGAAAGTGCCGCCCCGGATCTGCAGGCTGCAAAACAGGCGGAGCGAAGCGGGTTGGAGGCGGAGGCGAGGGAGGGACCTGTGCGGGGCTGGGAGCCGCCATGGCCCCGCTCCACTTCCCCCGGGAACCGGGCCCCGAGGAGCCCATGCCCGCAGACCTGCAGCCACTGAACCAGCTCAGCCCCAAGGTGAGCCCCTCGCCGTGCGTCATGCGCCCAGGGCGCACCAAAAAGTGCACGAGTTTCAGCACACCAAAGGGCGCCCCCTGTCGGTGCCACGGCCTCCAGTCTGGGTCAGGGGGGCTCTTCAGGCTCTGCCCCACCGAGCTGCCTGCACCCCAACTTCTGGGTGCCCCCCTGGGTGCGGAGAAGGGGGCGCCAACAAGGTCCCCCCAGCACCTCTCCAACTCCTCTTCCTCCTCCTTCTCCCAGGGTGCGTTTACATTGTAGAAGCAATGCAATGTGGCACAGAGCTACCCTGGCTCTGTGCAATGGTTTCCTGGGAGTTGTAGCATTGTCAGGCACCAAGGGTCTTGGGCAGAAAAGGGGGCACCAACAAGGTCCCCCCAACTCTTCTCCAACTCTTCCTTCTCCTTCTCCCAGGGTGTGTTTACATTGTAGGTGCAATGCAACTTGGCAGCACTTGAGCTGCCCTGGCTCTGTGGTATGGCTTCCTGGGAGTTGTAGCATTCTGAGGCACCAAGGGTCTTGGGCAGAGAAGGGGGCACCAACTAGATCCCCCCAAAACTTCTCAAACTCCTTCTCCTCCCAGGTTGTGTTTAGATTGTAGGTGCAATGCAACTTGGTGGCACTTGTGCTGCCCTGGCTCTGTGCTATGGTTTGCTGGGAGTTGTAGCTTGCTGAGGCACCAAGGGTCTTGGGCAAAGAAGGGGGTGCCAACAAGTTCCCCCAGCACATCTCCAATTCTTCCTCCTCCCAGGGTGTGTTTACATTGTAGGTGCAATGCAATTTGGCAGCACTTGAGCTACCCTGGTTCAGTGCAATGGTTTCCTGGGAGTTGTAGCTTGCTGAGGCACCAAGGCTCTTGGGCAGAAAAGGGGGCACCAATAAGGTCCCCCCAACTCTTCTCCAACTCCTCCTTCTCCAAGGGTGTGCTTACATTGTAGGTGCAATGCAATTTGGCAGCACTTGCGCTACCCTGGCTCTGTGCAATGGTTTCTTGGGAGTTGTAGCTTGCTGGGGCACCAAGGGTCTTGGGCAGAGAAGGGGGCACCAACTAGATCCCCCCCCCCCAGAACTTCTCAAACTCCTTCTTTTCCTCCTTTTCCTTCTCCCAGGGTGTGTTTACATTGTAGGTGCAATGCAACTTGGCAGCACTTGTGCTGCCCTGGCTCTGTGCTATGTCCCACAAGTGACATTTGCTTCCATTGTTGTCGTGGGGAAAAATACAGTTAAGTCTGGGAGTTGTAGCTTGCTGAGGCACCAAGGCTCTTGGGTAGAGAAGGTAGAGAAGGGGGCACCAACAAGGTCCCCCAGTACTTCTCAAACTCTTCCTCCTTCTCCCAGGGTGTGTTTACATTGTAGAAGCAATGCAATTTGACAGCACTTGAGCTTCCCTGGCTCTGTGCTATGGTTTCTTGGGATTTGTAGCTTGCTGGGGCACCAAGGCTCTTGGGCAGAGAAGGAGTGCCAACAAGGTCCCCCCAACTTCTCTCCAACTCTTCCTTCTCCTTCTCCCAGGGTGTGTTTACATTGTAGGTGTGATGCAGTTTGGCAGCACTTGAGCTATCCTGGCTCTGTGCTATAGTTTCCTGGGAGTTGTAGCTTGCTGGGGCACCAAGGGTCTTGGGCAGAGAAGGGGGCACCAACTAGATCCTCCCAGTACTTCTCCAACTCCTTCTCCTCCTCCCAGGATGTGTTTAGATTGTAATTGCAATGCAACTTGGCAGCACTTGAGCTACCCTGGCTCTGTGCAATGGTTTCTTGGGAGTTGTAGCTTGCTGGGGCACCAAGGCTCTTGACCAGAGAAGGGGGCACCAACTAGATCCCCCCAGCACCTCTCCAATTTAATCTTCTCCTTCTCCCAGGGTGTGTTTACATTGTAGGTGCAATGCAACTTGGTGGCACTTGAGCTGCCCTGGCTCTGTGCAATGGTTTCTTGGGAGTTGTAGCTTGCTGAGTGAGGCACCAAGGGTCTTGGGCAGAGAAGGGGGCGCCAACTAGATCCCCCCCCCCAGAACTTCTCAAACTCCTTCTTTTCCTCCTCCTCCTTCTCCCAGGGTGTGTTTACATTGTAGGTGCAATGCAACTTGGCAGCACTTGTGCTGCCCTAGCTCTGTGCTATGTCCCACAAGTGACATTTGTTTCCATTGTTGTTGTGGGGAAAAATACAGTTAAGTCTGGGAGTTGTAGCTTGCTGGGGCAACAAGGCTTTTGGGCAGAAAAGGGGTGCCAACAAGGTCCCCCCAACTCTTCTCCAACTCTTCCATCTCCTTCTCCCAGGGTGTGTTTACATTGTAGAAGCAATGCAATTTGGCAGCATTTGAGCTACCCTGGCTAGGTGCAATGGTTTGTTGGGATTTGTAGCTTGCTGGGGCACCAAGGGTCTTGGGTAGAGAAGGAGGCACCAACAAGCCCCCTCTCCCCAATACTTCTCAAATTCCTCCTTCTCTTCCCAGGGTTTGTTTACATTGTAGGTGGAATGCAGTTTGGTGGCACTTGTGCTGCCCTGGCTCTGTGCTATGGTTTCTTGGAATCTGTAGCTTGCTGAAGCGCCAAGACACTTGGGCAGAGAACAGGGTGTCATCAAGGTTCCTCCAGCACCTCTCCAACTCCTCCTTCTCCCAGGGTTTGTTTACATTGTAGGTGCAATGCAACTTGGTGGCACTTGTGCTACCCTGGCTCTGCTATGGTTTCCTGGGAGTTGTAGCTTGCTGAGGCACCAAGGCTCTTGAGCAGAGAAGGGGGTGCCAACAAGTTCCTTCAGCACATCTCCAATTCCTCCTTCTCCTTCTCCCAGGGTGTGTTTACATTGTAGGTGCAATGCAATTTGGTGGCACTTGAGCTTCCCTGGCTCTGTGCTATGGTTTCCTGGGAGTTGTAGCATTGTCAGGCACCAAGGGTCTTGGGCAGAGAAGGGAGCACCAACAAGGTCCCCCCAAAACTTCTCAAACTCCTTCTTCTCCTTCTCCCAGGGTGTGTTTACTATGTAGGTGCAATGCAACTTTTTTGGCACTTGAGCTACCCTGGCTCTGTGAAATGGTTTCTTGGGAGTTGTAGCTTGCTGGGGCACCAAGACTCTTCGGCAGAGAAGGGGGTGCCAACAAGTTCCCCCAGCACATCTCCAATTCTTCCTTCTCCCAGGGTTTGTTTACATTGTAGGTGGAATGCAGTTTGGTGGCACTTGTGCTGCCCTGGCTCTGTGCTATGGTTTCTTGGAATCTGTAGCTTGCTGAAGCACCAAGACACTTGGGCAGAGAACAGGGTGTCATCAAGGTTCCTCCAGCACCTCTCCAACTCCTCCTTCTCCCAGGGTTTGTTTACATTGTAGGTGCAATGCAACTTGGTGGCACTTGTGCTACCCTGGCTCTGCTATGGTTTCCTGGGAGTTGTAGCTTGCTGAGGCACCAAGGCTCTTGAGCAGAGAAGGCCTTGTAAAACTACAACTCCCAGACTTACCTATATTTTTTCCCACAACAACAATGCAAGTAAATGTCACTTGTGGGATTTTATAAATTCGTACAGAGCTTTCCATTAGTGCCTGGATTTTATATGGCAGTGTCAAAGGGGCCTCCATTCAACGTGTAGGTGTGTCATAGGAACCTAACCAGAAACCTCTGACTGTTAAATCTATCTGTACCAGTGTTTCTCACCCTTCCTAATGCCGTGACCCCTTAATCCAGTTCCTCATGTTGTGGTGACTCCCAACCATAACATTATTTTCTTTGCTACTTCATAACTGTATTTTTGCTACTGTTATGAATCGTAATGTAAATATTTGATAGGCAGGATGGATTTTCATTCACTGGACCAAATTTTACACAAATACCCAATATGCCCAAATTTGGATACTGATGGGATTTTGTCATTTGGGAGTTGTAGTTGCTGGGATTGATACTTCACGTACAATCAAAGAGCACTCTGAACTCCACCAAGGATGGAATTGAATCAAAGTTGGCACACAGAACTTCCATGGCCAACAGAAAATTCTGGAAGGATTTCCTGGGTTTTGGAGTTGTAGTTCACCTACATCCCAAGAGCACTGTGGACTCAAACAAAGATGGATCTGGACCAAATTTGACAAGGATACTCAATATGCCCAAATGTGAACCCTGGTGGAGTTTGGGAAAACAGATCTTGACATTTGGGAATTGCAGTTGCTGGGATTTATAGTTCACCTACAATCAAAGAGCATTCTGAACCCCACTAACAATAATATAGTTAGCCTACAATCAAGGAGCATTCTGAACTTAAAAAAATAGAGTTGAACCAAACTTGGCACACAGAATTCCCATGACTAAAAGAAAATACTGGAAGAGTTTGATGGGCATTGACCTTGAGTTTTGGAGTTGTAGTTCACCTACATCCCAAGAGCACTGTGGACTCAAACAAAGATGGATCTGGACCAAATTTGACAAGGATACTCAATATGCCCAAATGTGAACACTGGTGGAGTTTGGGGGAAATAGACCTTGACATTTGGGAGTTGTTGTTGCTGGGATTTATAGTTCACCTACAAAGAGGATTCTGAACCCCACCAATGATAGAATTGGGCCACAATTGGCACGCAGAACTCCCATGAGCAACAGAAAATGCTGGAAGGATATGGTGGGCATTGGCCTTGAGTTTTGGAGTTGCAGTTCACCTACATCCCGAGAGCACTGGGGACTCAAACAATGAGAGATCTGGACCATCTGGCCTATTTATTTATTTATCGTGTCAGGCAACCGAAAAGTTGTATTACATTTTTGACAGAACAAATAAACAAACATACAAAAGAACACATCTCGCCACGCTAGAACAGTGGGTGTGGCGCTTAAAGAGACATGCCGCATTATCACGGGGTGTCTGCACCCTACACCACTGGAGAAACTACACTGTCTAGCCCAGTGTTTCTCAACCTTCCTAATGCCATGACCCCTTAATACAGTTCCTCATGTTGTGGTGACCCCCCAAACATCAAATCATTTTGTTGCTACTTCATAACTGTAATTTTGCTACTGTTATCAATTGTAAAGTAAATATCTGGTGTATTTTCATTGACACAGCTGCTGGGATTTATAGTTCACCTACAATCAAAAAGCATTTTGAACTCCACCAGTGCTGGAATTGAACCAAACGTGGCACACAGGACTCCCATGATTAACAGAAAGCACTAGAAGGGTTTGATGGGCATTGATCTTGAGTTTTGGAGTTGTAGTTCACCTACATCCAGAGAGCACTTTGGACTCAAACAATCATGGATCAGGACCAAACGTGGCACAAATACTCAATAAGCCCAAATGTGAACACTGGCGGAGTTTGGGGGGAAATAAACCTTAACAGTTGTAGTTGCTGGGATTTATAGTTCACCTACAATCAAAGAGCAGTCTGAACCCCACTAACAATAATATAGTTAGCCTACAATCAAGGAGCATTCTGAACTTAAAAAAATAGAGTTGAACCAAACTTGGCACACAGAATTCCCATGACTAAAAGAAAATACTGGAAGAGTTTGATGGGCATTGACCTTGAGTTTTGGAGTTGTAGTTCACCTACATCCAGAGAGCACTTTGGACTCAAACAATGATGGATCAGGACCAAACCTGGCACAAATACTCAATAAGCCCAAATGTGAACACTGGCGGAGTTTGGGGGGAAATAAACCTAAACAGTTGTAGTTGCTGGGATTTATAGTTCACCTACAATCAAAGAGCAGTCTGAACCCCGCTAACAATAATATAGTTAGCCTACAATCAAGGAGCATTCTGAACTTTAAAAAATGGAGTTGAACCAAACTTGGCACACAGAATTCCCATGACTAAAAGAAAATACTGGAAGGGTTTGGTGAGCATTGACCTTGAGTTTTGGAGTTGTAGTTCACCTATGTCCAGAGAGCACTGTGGACTCAAACAATGACGGATCAGGACCAAAATTGGCACAAATACTCAATATGCCCAAATGTGAACACTGGCAGAGTTTGGGGGGAAATAAACCTTGACAGTTGTAGTTGGTGGGATTTATAGTTCACCTACAATCAAAGAGCATTCTGAACCCACTAAAAATACAACTGGGCCAAACTTCCCACACAGAAACCCCACGACCAACAGAAAATACTGTGTTTTCTGATGGTCTTTGGCGACCCCTCTGACACCCCCTCGCAACCCCTCCAGGGGTCCCGACCCCCAGGTTGAGAAACGCTGGTCTAGCCGGTATTGCACCACCTGACATCCGCCAGGAAGTAGCAACCAATAGTGAAAGGACCAAGGCAGGGACATCTCCAGCTCATCCCCTGTTTGGGTATCAGCCAGCACGTTAACGACTTAAAACAAGAAATAGTTTTCTAAGATCTACAGAGATACTTGCTGGAACACCTCAGCAAGCAAGAGTCAAAAAGTGGCAGGCCCAAACCCAGCACCTCAACCAATGGCTGATACCAAATGAGAGACTCCCCCCTGGGCACACACAGGACTGGGCGACTTGGAAGGCGCTGAACAGACTGCGCTCTGGCACCACGAGATGCAGAGCCAACCTTCAGAAATGGGGCCACAAAGTGGAATCCTCGACATGCGAGTGTGGAGAAGAGCCAACCCCTGACCACCTGCTGCAATGCACCCTGAGCCCTGCCACGTGCACAATGGAGGACCTTCTTGCAGCAACACCAGAGGCACTCCAAGTGGCCAGATACTGCTCAAAGGACATCTAATCATCTACCAAACATTGCATTTTGTCTGTTTGTTTTGTTAAAAATGTAACACAAATGTCTGGTTGCTCCTGCCACGATAAATAAATACTCAAATTTCTAGCATCCTTGTAAGAGTTATTTTATTTATCGTGTCAGGAGCGAACCAATGACACAATTGTGATGTATTTGAGAAAACACAACATTTAAAAACTTGGCATCCTATTAAATGTCCTTTGAATGGTAGCTGGAGTCTTGGGGTGCCTCTGGTGTTGCTATAAGAAGGTCCTCCATTGTGCATGTGGCAGGGCTCAGGTTGCATTGCAGCAGGTGGTCGGTGGTTTGCTCTTCTCCACACTCACATATCATGGACTCCACTTTGTGGCCCCATTTCTTAAGGTTGGCTCTGCATCTCGTGGTGCCAGAGCGCAGTCTGTTCGGTGCCTTCCAAGTCGCCCACTCTTCTGCGTGCCCAGCCGGGTTTCTCATCCGGCCTCAGCCACTGATTGAGGTGCTGGATTTTAGCCTGCCACTTTTGGACTCTCGCTTGCTAAGTTGTTCCAGCGAGTGTCTCTGTAGATGAGTGGTTCTCAACCTTTCTAATGCCGCGACCCCTTAATACAGTTCCTCATGTTGTGCTGATCCCCAACCATAAAATTATTTTTGTTGCTACTTCGTAACTATAATTTTGCTACTGTTATGAATCGTCATGTAAATATCAGATATGCAGGATGTATTTTCATTTACTGGACCAAATTTGGCACGAATACCCAATACTCCCACATTTGAATACTGGTGGGGTTGGGGTGGGGGAATTGATTTTGTCATTTGGGAGTTGTAGTTGCTGGGATTGATCGTGTAATATCTCCAGTGGTGTTGGGTGCAGACACACCGTGATAATGTGGCATGTCTCATTGAGCCACATCCACTGTTTTGGCGCAGTGAGATGTGTTCCACATTGGGTATGCGTACTGAGCAGCACAGTAGCAAAGCGCAAAGGCAAATATATCCACATTATCTGCTTTGAACTGGATTGTAGGAGTCTATACTGCCATATAATCCAGTTCAAAGTGGATAGTATAGGTTTTGTATGGCAGTGTAGAAGGGAATAGAGCCGGTGGCACCTCCCATTCCTTGGTGGTCTCCCATCCAAGTCCTAACTAGGGCTGACCCTGCTTAGCTTCCAAGATGAGATGGGATCGGGGTGTTTTTGGGATGTGCAGGCAATGTGTGTGTGTGCCTTCAAGACTCAAGCCCTTTCTACGCCACCGTATAGACCAAAATATTGAGGCAGATAATCCACATTATCGGCTTTGAACTGGTTTATAGGCGTCTACACTGTCATATAATCTGGTTCAAAGAGAATAATATGGATTTTGTGCATCTTCAATACAACGAAGACTCAAGCCCCCGTAATACAATGGTCTGGTTGCCCCTGACATGATAAATAAAATCTATGTGTATACTAGTGTAGGTATGAGAAGAGCTTCAGTCCAAGTGTTTCCTGGGCATAGACTGAGTAAGAAAGGAAGAAGGACAACAGTTTTTGTGTGATTGACTTCTTCTGTCTTTTCCCCCCAGCAATTCTCTGCTCTGACTGAACTGGTATTCCAGTTTCTCCAGGAACCTAAAGAGGTAATCCGTTTTGTCAGATAACAAGCCTAACTAGGTATTTACAAGACAGGAGGGTTTTAGTATTGCGAGCCATCATTCACAGTTCTTAGTACAATATTTCCCCCTCGAGACAAACGGAAAGACGAGGCTCTCATTCTTTGAAAGGTCTACATTATCTTTAGGGATTTGTATAATACTGATAGTGTGTGATACCGCTGGAATCACTGGGTTGCTGTGAGTTTTCTGGGTTGTCTGGCCATGTTCCGGAAGCATTCTCTCCTGATGTTTTGCCCCCATCTATGGGAAGCATCTTCAAAGATTGTGAGGTTTGTTGGAAGCTAGGCAAGTAAGGTTTGTATATCTGTGGAATAATGTCCAGGGTGGGAGAAAGAGCTCTTGTCTGCTCGAGGCAAGTGTGAATGTTATAATTGGCCACCAGCATTTAATGGACTTGCAGCTTCAAAGCCTGGCTGATTGCTGCCTGGGAGGATCCTTTGTTGGGAGGTGTTAGTTGGCCCAGATTGATAAGAGTTATTTCTCCCACCCTGGACAAGCCACTCCAAATCTCATTTTAAGAGACGAGCGAGCATAGTAGTAGTAGTAGTCATAATAATACCTTGACTTCAAGACCTAGCTGTTGATTGTCTCTCATTCATAGGGTCACAATAATTTGAAGTCAGTTCAATGGTGGTTAACTACAACCATGATAGTAAGAAAGACAATGATGCTGGGGAAAGTGGAAGGCAAAAGGAAGAGGGGCCGACCAAGGGCAAGATGGATGGATGGCATCCTTGAAGTGACTGGACTGACCTTGAGGGAGCTGGGGGTGGTAACGGCCGACAGGGAGCTCTGGCGTGGGCTGGTCCATGAGGTCACGAAGAGTCGGAGACGACTGAACGAATGAACAACAACAACATGATAGTAAGAACTATATGCAAGTAGTTTGAAGCCCAGTTTGCTCCTTTTGGGTGAAGGACACTGCTTTCATTACTCTTCTTCTTTTGCAGATCGAAAGGTTTCTGGCCCAGCTCTCTGAATTTGCTGCCACCAATAAGATCAGCTTGGGGCCTTTGAAGAATCTCGTCAAAAGCCTCCTCTTGGTGCCAAACAGTGAGTCTGAGACCACGAGGGCTCCAGGAAGGTCGATTGGCTCTCCAAGGCCAGCCACCTCTTGCGCCTCCACTGTAGCATTAATGCAATTATGTCATGAATGACTTTCCAATAACTTTGAAACATAGGTTCTTTTTATTGCAATTTCCAGTGTAAGAGGATAGATCAGATTACAGAAAAACGTTTAGACAAAGAATGACATTGGACATACAGACATACAGATTATATGCAACTACGTTGGATTCACAATTACATTGGTTAACAAACAAACAAAGGGGAATTCCATTTTCACTCAACATTATCACACATGTACACACATTCATCCTCATGCATCCAAATATTACCATATCCTTTTCTCCTTCCTTGGAGAAGCACCTCTTAGGCCAGATCCTGCTTCCCTGCAGCCTGCCAACACATAGTTCCATAACACCAAAACTTCTTCCCTAAGAACAATGTCAAGGACCAGATCTCTGTTTTCCATACAGCAGAACCTGACTCCCTGCACAAAATCAAAGACTCCAAAATTGACTTCCTCCTCTTCCCTTGAGAAAGAAGCCCCAAAGTGACCCAGATTTGCTCTTGTGCAAATCTGCCACTCTCCATAGGTACACTATCTCTCTCCTTCCCATGGAGCAGAGCATAGCGGGTGAACCAGACTCCTCAGGTCTGCCACACTTTGAGCATTATTAGACTGAGTCTTGTATAGCAATATTCTGCTGATGTAGTCCCAAAGTTGTAAATTAATAATAGACAACTTCCATCCTGGCTCCATCTCAGTTTCCTGGCCAGATGTTGATCTTCTTGATTGGTGTTGGTCTTATGTTGACTTCCTTCTTAACATAAGGAATGTTGCAAACATCTTAACTTGAAAGAACCATAATCACAGTTCTTATCAATTCTCATTAGCAGGTGTTGATCACAGATCCAGCAAGCAGGTAGTTGATCATTGCAGGCCTTAATATTATATGGTGTTTCCAAAATTATTAGCTCCATTCATACATTCTTCCATTCATTCCCACACATCATATTAAATTCATATTTATCAAATCTGCACATTGGATTTCTTGTGACGGTTCGACACCACATTCAATGCCACGGCTCAATGCTATAGATTCCTGGAGTTGTAGTTTTACAGGATTTCTAGCCGCCTCTGCCAAAGAGTATGTAGACCAGTTTTTTCAGGCTATATGGCCATGTTCTAGAGGCATTCTCTCCTGATGTTTCGCCTGCATCTGTGGCAAGCATCCTCAGAGGTAGTGAGGTCTGTTGGAGCTAGGAAAAAGGGTTTATATATCTGTGGAATGAACAGGGTGGGACAAAGTACTCTTGTCTGCTGGAGCTAGGTGTGAATGTTTCAACTGACCACCTTGATTAGCATATAATGGCCTGACTGTGCCTGGAGCAAACTTTTGTGGAGAAGTGATTAGATGTCCTTGATGGTTTCCCCTCTGCTGTTTTGCTGTTGTAATTTTAGTATTAATTTTAGTATGTTGTAATTTAGATTTAGAAACTACAGATCCCAGGACTCCAGAGCATCGAGGGATAGCAGTTAAAGTGGGATCAAACTGCATTCCTAACAGCCTCAGGCCCCTTCCTTTTCCCCCTCAGCCACTTAAGCCATGTTCTAGAGGCATTCTCTCCTGACATTTCGCCTGCATCTATGGCAAGCATCCTCAGAGGTAGTGAGGTCTATTGGAACTAGGAAAATGGGTTTATATATCTGTGGAATGACCAGGGTGGGACAAAAGATTCCTGTCTGTTGGAGCTGGGTGTGAATGTTTCAACTGACCACCTTGATTAGCATCTGATGGCCCGGCAGTGCCTGGGGCAATCTTTTGTGATTAGATGTCCTTGATTGTTTCCCCTCTGTTGTAATTTTAGTATTAATTTTAGTATGTTGTAATTTAGTATGTAGGCCTCCCCAAACTACAGATCCCAGGACTCCATAGCATTGAGGGATAGCAGTTAAAGTGGGATCAAACTGCATTCCTGACGGCCTCAGGCCCCTTCCTTTTCTCCTTAAGCTGCTGAGGGGGAAAAGGAAAGGGCCTGAGGCTGTTAGGAATGCTGGGAGTTGGAGTCCAAAACACCTGGAGGGTAGGCCCCCAAGTTCTAGGCTTATTTTTGTATTGAATGCACAATCCCAAACACTTGTGCCAATGGATGCCCGCTGCATGACCCCTTCCCCTTTTGGTTTCCTCCTGCACAGTAGCAATGCGGCGCAACTGGACGGCTTTGCTTCTTTTCTCGCTGACCCTTTCTCTTTTACGATGTTTGCTCTAGGTGCCTTGAAGAAGGCTCTGTCCGCCGAACAGGTCCGAGCTGATCTTATCTCTCTGGGTAGGTCCCTTTGGTTTCGCCTCCGGTCATCCTGGGAAGTGTCCGCTGTCCATTCCCTTCTTTGTAACCGTGTTGCGTCTCTCTTGCAGGTCTGAGCGAGGAGAAGGCTGGCTTTTTCGAAGAACAGGTACGGTTTGCATTCCTTTCCCTTTGGAATTCGAAACTATGCGCTCGGGGAGGCATGGCTTGAGCTGACCAGTCACTTGTTCCTGCCTTCATCTATCTTTGGTGGAAATAGCTTCCAATGCACACTAACAGAAAAAAAAGTCTGAAAAATATATTACAGGTTGTGCATTTGGAATTCTGAAATCCGACATTGTTTACATAAGAGGTGTGTTCATTAATAGCTTCCAATGTACACTATTTATTTATTAGTTTGTTTGTTTGTTTGTTTGTTTGTTTATGACATTTATATGCCACCCTTTCCACCCCGAAGGGGACTCAGAGTGGCTTACAAGAAATATATACATACAATATATATCATTAGTATCAGTATTATCCGGAGTTTCGGGGTGCGGTGTCATCTGTACGCAGATGATGTCCAACTCTGTCACTCCTTTCCACCTGCTACTCAGGAGGCTGTCGAAGTCCTGAACCGGTGCCTGGCCGCTGTAACGGTCTGGATGAGGGCGAACAAACTGAAATTAAATCCAGACAAGACAGAGGTACTCCTGGTCAGTCGCAAGGCCGAACAGGGTATAGGGTTACAGCCTGTGCTGGACGGGGTCGCACTCCCCTTGAAGGCGCAGGTTCGCAGCTTGGGTGTGACCCTGGATTCATCATTGAGCCTGGATCCCCAGGTTTCAGCGGTGACCAGGGGAGCATTCGCACAGCTTAGGCTCGTGCGCCAGCTGCGCCCGTACCTTGGGAAGTCTGACTTGGCCACGGTGGTACACGCTCTGGTCACATCCCGCCTTGACTACTGCAACGCTCTCTACGTGGGGCTGCCCTTGAAGACGGCCCGGAAGCTTCAGCTGGTTCAGCGTGCGGCAGCCATGTTACTAACTGGAGCGGGATACAGGGAGCACACAACGCCTCTGTTGTCCCAGCTCCACTGGCTGCCGATCTGCTACCGGGCCCAATTTAAGGTGCTGGTTCTGGCCTACAAAGCCCTAAACGGCTCCGGCCCAAAATACCTTTCGGACCGCATCTTGGCCTATGAGCCCACGAGGATCTTGAGATCGTCTGGGGAGGCCCTTCTCTCGATCCCGCCGGCCTCACAGGCACGTCTGGCGGGGACGAGAGAGAGGGCCTTCTCGGTGGTGGCCCCCCGGCTGTGGAACACTCTCCCTGCAGACATCAGACAGGCGCCCTCCCTCATGTCCTTCCGAAAAAGCCTTAAGACATGGCTGTTCGAGAAGGCATTTAATTAGTGCTATAATAGTGTGGTAAAGCTGACTGGAATGGAACAAGGAATATGAGATTGGTTATGATTCCACTATGAGACGAAGCGGATTTTTTAGTGTAACTTTATAATTGTTATATTGTTAATATGTTGTTTTGCGACTGCTTTTTTGTAAATTGCCTTTTATGTATGTTGTACACCACCATGAGTCGCCCTAAAGGGCTGAGAATGGCGGTTAACAAATGCACAAATAAATAAATATAAATAAGTATTAAATATTATGTAGTAAAATATAGTATTATCAGTATTAAATATTACTATATTGTATTATACCATTATAATGTAATATTATTAGTAATATTACATGTAATGTGCTGGTACGGCTGTACCAGGAGCTCCAATTTTATTTGCTTTGTATTAAATGTTTGCTTGCAGCCCTGGGTTTCAGGGACTCTGCAGATAGGTGGCTTCCTTTGGTTGCAGTCATAGGGCAAGTCACCTGTCCATCATCGTTAAGTTTTGGTCCCACCCCTTGCTCAGGGCAATTGGGAAGGGAAGGGAGCCATTTTTAGTTAGTCTCAGCAAGGAAAGCTAATGTACAGGACATGTGCAAGCTTCCCCTGTACAAAAGCTTCAACCCTTAAGACTTTCCGGGAGGAAACAGTCTTAAGAGCATCCAAGACTTTCTGGGGGAGAACAGTCTTAAGAGTCTCCAAAGATTTCCAGGAAAATAGCCTTAAAGACCAAAGAACTCCAGCTGGAGAACATCTAAGCCTTTACTGGTAGGTCCACTCAGCGTTCAAGAAGCAGTTTGACCCGGTAGCGGAGCCCACATCAGTGAGGGTTAGATTACAGTCAGCCTGGGAGAAGTTAAAAAGGGGACTTTCCTTTAAAGTAAAGAAGAAGTTATTGAAGACAGTTGCCTGTCCTTCGTGGGCAAGTTTAGGAAGCTACCAGTTGCATAAAAGCCTGGAATCATTTGTTTATCTTTACTGAAGACAAGAGAAGTTTCTGTTTGATTGTTCATTAATAAAGGACTTTGTTATACTTCACAAGCCATCTAAAGACCATTTGTGGTGGAAAACCTCTGAGAACTTCTCCTTGGGCCCCCTGGCTTCCCGCTGGGCAAAGGTTGCACGTCCTGTTCTAAAGGAAATTCTTTACAGGCCCAGCGCGCGACAGAACATGTAATATAAATATATAATTATAATATCATATTATTAGGTAAAGGTAAAGGTAGTCCCCTGACATTAAGTCCAGTCATGTCTGGCTCTGGGGTGTGGTGCTCATCTCCATTTCTAAGCCGAAGAGCCAGCGTTGTCCATAGACACCTCCAAGGTCATGTGGCCGGCATGACTGCATGGAGCACCGTTACCATATTATTAGTAGTAGCATTATATTGCATTACATTATAATATTATAAATATTATATGTATATACAATATATTGTATTACATTTATACATTTATTTTTACTAACATAAAATAGTTCTGAAAGTACAGGTTGTGCATTTGGAATTCCGAAATCCGACATCGTTTGCAGATGAGGGACGTTCATGAAAGATTTTCCCTGACCTACTGGCTGTTAGGAATTGTGGGAGTTGGAGTCCAAAACACTTGGAGGGCCCAAGTTGGCCCGTGCCTGGTATAAATGGACTCTTAAAATCAGTTGGATTGAGTGGGCAATATGACGACATGGCTAAAGATGTGACGTTTTGTTTTTGTGACCCAGTGGAAGGGAAATGCTGCGACGCTCTCGCGCCTGGCGGTGGGGCAGACTCTGATGGTCAACCAGCTCATGGACATGGAATGGAAGTTCGGGGGTGAGTAGTTTTGCCGTGATCTCAAGCCCTTCCCTGGCATTTTGCCCCCCTGAAACCTGGGCACCGGCTTCGAGCCATTACTTGTCTTCTTTCTCGCCACCAGTTACGGCTGGAAGCAGTGAACTGGGCAAAGTGGGAAGCATCTTCTTGCAGGTGAGCCACCCTCTTAAGATACATGCATGGCTTTGTGTTCGATGCCTTTACTGAAGAAGAAGAACGCTCCCTCAGTCATGAGTGAATTCTAGACTTCTAGAGCTGGATGGGAGCTCCAGAGGCCATCCAGTCCAACCCCCTGCTGCCAGGCAGGAAGGCACAATCTAAGCCCTCCTGATAGTTAGCCATCTGACCTCTGTTTCAAAACCTCCAGAGATTTCCTGCAGATTGCTCGGAAGAGAAGTCTCCTCCAACTTTTCAAACACTGCCAGATCTTTCACTCTTTCCAGAGTTTGGGAAAGTCCTCCTTGGGGGAACTGCAACTCCCATACTTCCTGGGAGTTGAACAGAGCTTGGGAAATTTGCTTTAGTTTTGGATTAGAACTCCAAGAAGCAACCAAGACTATATCTGTGATTTAATTCAGGATGGGATCGCTCTCTCTCTCTCTCTGAATGAATCTCTTCACCAACCTTTGATTCCTAGCCTGATTTGTCCTTCCTTCCTTCCTGCCTTCCTTCCTTCCTTCCTTCCTTCCTTCCTTCCTTCCTTCCTTCCTTCTTCCTTCCTTCCTTCCTTCCTTCTCCTTCTTACCGTCCTTCCTTTTTCTTTCTTTATCTCTCCCTTTTTCCTTTTTTTCTTCCTTTCTTTCACATTCCTTCCTTCCCATCCCTTCCTTTTCTTCCCTCCTTCCTTCCTTTATTTCTCTCTCTCTCCCCCCCTTTTTCTTTCTTCCTCCTTTCTTCCTAATAATAATAATAATAATAATAATAATAATTATTATTATTATTATTATTTATATTCCACCCTATCTCCCCAAGGGGACAAAGGTCAGGTTCCAATCATAAAAGGTAAACATTAAATGACTGAACATAACACCAATACACACATAGTAATGAAAATGATTCCTCGCCTGATTTGTTTTTTTCCTTCCTTCCTTCCTTCCTTCCTTCCTTCCTTCCTTCTTCCTTCCTTTCTTTCCACTTTCTCTCTCTCTCTATTCCTTTCTTCCTTTCTTTCAGTCTTTCTCCTTCCTTCCTCTTCCTTTCTTTCTCTTCCTTCCTTCCTTCTGTCCTTCCTCTTCCTTTTTTTCTCCTTCCTTCTGTCCTTCCTTCCTTCCTTCCTTCCTTCCTTCCTTCCTTCCTTCCTTCCTTCCTTCCTTCCTTCCTTCTTCCTCCTTCTTCTTCTTTCTCTTTCTTTATTTCTTTCTCTCTCAATTCCTTTTTTCCTCTTTCTTTATTCTTTCTTCTTCCTTCCTCTTCCTTTCTCTCCCTCCCTCTTTCTTTCTCCTTCTTTCCTTCCTTCCTTCCTTCCTTCTTTCTTTCCTTCTTTCCTCTTTCTTTATTTCTTTCTCTCTCCATTCCTTCCTTCCTCTTTCTTTTATTCTTTCTTCTTTCTTTCTTCTTCCTCTCTTTCTTCCTTCCTTCCTCTTCCTTCCTTCTTTCCTTCCTTCCTCTTCCTTCCTTCCTTCCTCTTCCTTCCTTATTTCCTCTTCCTTCCTTCCTTCCTTCCTTCCTTTCCACTTTCTCTCTCTCTCTATTCCTTTCTTCCTTTCTTTCAGTCTTTCTCCTTCCTTCCTCTTCCTTTCTTTCTCTTCCTTCCTTCCTTCTGTCCTTCCTCTTCCTTTTTTTCTCCTTCCTTCTGTCCTTCCTTCCTTCCTTCCTTCCTTCCTTCCTTCCTTCCTTCCTTCTTTCCTCTTTCTTTATTTCTTTCTCTCTCCATTCCTTTCTTCCTCTTTCTTTATTCTTTCTTCTTCCTTCCTCTTCCTTTCTCTCCCTCCCTCTTTCTTTCTCCTTCTTTCCTTCCTTCCTTCCTTCCTTCTTTCTTTCCTTCTTTCCTCTTTCTTTATTTCTTTCTCTCTCCATTCCTTCCTTCCTCTTTCTTTTATTCTTTCTTCTTCCTTCCTTCCTCTTTCTTTCTTTCTTTCTTTCTTCTTCCTCTCTTTCTTCCTTCCTTCCTTCCTTCCTTCCTCTTTCTTCCATCAATTCATCCTTCCTCTTCCTTCCTTCCTTCCTTCCTTCCTTCCTTCCTTCCTTCCTTCCTTCCTTCCTTTCTTTCTTTCTTTCTTTCTTTCCACTTTCTCTCTCTCTCTATTCCTTTCTTCCTTTCTTTCAGTCTTTCTCCTTCCTTCCTCTTCCTTTCTTTCTCTTCCTTCCTTCCTTCTGTCCTTCCTCTTCCTTTTTTTCTCCTTCCTTCTGTCCTTCCTTCCTTCCTTTCTTCCTTCCTTCCTTCCTTCTTTCCTCTTTCTTTATTTCTTTCTCTCTCCATTCCTTTCTTCCTCTTTCTTTATTCTTTCTTCTTCCTTCCTCTTCCTTTCTCTCCCTCCCTCTTTCTTTCTCCTTCCTTCCTTCCTTCCTTCCTTCCTTCCTTCCTTCCTTCCTTCCTCTTTCTTTCTTTCTTTCTTTCTTTCTTTCTTTCTTTCTTTCTTTCTTTCTTTCTTTCCTTCCTTCTTTCTTTCCTTCTTTCCTCTTTCTTTATTTCTTTCTCTCTCCATTCCTTTCTTCCTCTTTCTTTTATTCTTCCTCCTTCCTTTCTCTTCCTTTCTTTCTCTCTCTTCCTCTTTCTTTCTTCTTCCTCCCTTCCTTTCTTCCACTTTCTTCCTCTCTCTCCCCCTCCTTTCCTCCCTTCCTTCCTTTCTTTTTTCTTTCTCCTTCCTTCCTTCCTTCCTTCCTTCCTTCCTTCCTTCCCTTCTTCCTTCTTTCCTTCCCTCCCTCCCTCCTTCCCATCCCTTCCTTTTCTTTCTTTCTTTCTTTCTTTCTCCTTCCTTCCCTTCTTTTTTTTCTCCTTTTTTCCTTCCTATTCCCATCGGCTACATTTTTTCTTTCTTTTCTCTTACTGCCTCCCCTTCCTTCCTCCTAGACATCCTTTATCCCTTCCCTCTCCTTTTCCTTCTTTCCTTCCTTCCTTCCTTCTTTCTTTCTTCCCTTCCTTCCTTCCTTCCTTCCTGTCCCTCTGAACTTCTTTTTCTCTCTTTCCTTTTTGGAGGGCAATCATTCCAAGCCAGGCTTGCCAATGCAAACATGGGCAAAGGCTCCTGCTCATTTAATCAAAGGGCAATTTTCAGCAGATGTTCCTTCTTCTGCGCAGCCACTCACAGCACAGGATCCCCTTCCAGGTTCTGCTATGGCAACCCTGCCGCCCAGCTTCAGTTACAAGACAACCTGGCTTCAGGGAGTTCTTGTTTCCCAGCTGTTGCAATGTTTGCGGTGAAATGGGACTTGCTGCCTGCAAAAGCGGGGTCCTGTTTCCTTTTGCTGAGACTTGACATGTGTTTTTGAAACATGATTTCTTTCCAGCTGAAACTGGTGGTGAAGAAAGGAAACCGATTGGAGCCTGTCTACATGGGTAAGCACGTGACAGTCGTTGCGAATGCAGTTTTTCACCTGTTGTATGGAAAGGTCTATTTCTTTTTTTGCTAATCTTTTATGATAGCGATTTGCAATAGTTTCAATTACATATTGGTCTCATGTAAGCCACTCCGAGTCCCCTCTGGGGAATGGTGGCAGGGTATAAATAAAGATTATTATTATTATTATTATTATTATTATTATTATTATTATGTATTGTCGAAGGCTGTCATGGCCGGAATCACTAGGCTGTTGTAGGTTTTTTCGGGCTATACTTCCATGTTCTAGAGGCATTCTCCCCTGACATTTCGCCTGCATCTATGGCAAGCATCCTCAGAGGTTGTGAGGTCTGTTGGAACTAGGAAAAAGGGTTTATATATCTGTGGAATGACCAGAGTGGGACAAAGGACCCTTGTCTGCTGGAGCTAAGTGTGAATGTTTCAATGACCACCTTGATTAGCATATAATGGCCTGACTGTGCCTGGAGCAAACTTTTGTTGAGAGGTGATTAGATGTCCTTGTTTGTTTCCTCTCTGTTGTTGTGCTGTTGTAATTTTAGAGTTTTTTAATACTCTACCGTGTACCATGCAGCTGTGGACAAGTCTACATAGAGACTACCAAATGCGGCATTGCCCAAACACGCATCAAGGAACATGAAAGGCATTGCAGAGTACTTCAACCAGAGAAGTCAGCATTGCAGAGCACCTGATGAACCAACCTGGACACAGCGTATTATTTGAGAACACACATGCTGGACCACTCTCACAACCACCATGTCAGGCTACACAGAGAAGCCACTGAAATCCACAAGCATGTGGACAATTTCAACAGAAAGGAGGAAACCATGAAAATGAACAAAATCTGGCTACCAGTATTAAAAAACTCTAAAATTACAACAGCACAACAACAGAGAGGAAACAATCAAGGACATCTAATCGCCTCTCAACAAAAGTTTGTTCCAGGCACTGTCAGACCATTATATGCTAATCAAGGTGGTCAGTTGAAACATTCACACCTAGCTCCAGCAGACAAGAGTCCTTTGTCCCACCCTGGTCATTCCACAGATATATAAACCCTTTGTCCTACTTCCAACAGACCTCACTACCTCTGAGGATGCTTGCCATAGATGCAGGCGAAACGTCAGGAGAGAATGCCTCTAGACCATGGCCATATAGCCCGAAAAAACTTAAAACAACCTATTATTATATTGTTTTTCTCTTCCCAACAGAGTTGACGCTGCCCCAGTTTTACAGCTTCCTTCACGAAATGGAGAGAATGAAAGCCAGCCTGGAGTGCCTCAGCTAAAGGAAATCTCATAAGGATCGGATACGAATCCTAATCTTCGAGGGGAAATAAAATGGTTTTTGGGGGTGAAAAATGCATCTACACTGTAGAATTAATGCAGATCGATGCCACGTGAACTGTCACAGCTCCATGCTATGGCATCATGGGGGTTGACGTTTGTCAGAAAATACCTTGGAAAACTACAACTCCCAGGATCACATAGCACTGAGCCATGGCGGTTCAAGTGGTATCAAACTGCATTAACTCTACAGTGTAGATGCACCCTAAGTCATTCCAGGTTACAACACCTGTTTTGCAAAACTTGCTGTAAAGAATCATATTTTGGTTAGTTGGGACTCTTAAGTGAGGAATTTGAGAAGTGAACATTAAAATGAACGATTGGTCTGTCTTGAAATGCCAAGGGATTATTCCTCTTTGCTTGCAAGAGCACAAGAACCACCATTGACGTTGCAAAACCACCGCTTCTCCCCCCAAGAAACTGCCAGGTGACAAAACCCACAGCTTCCTCAAGCAAAACAAACCCCTTCCAAAATAGAAAGTCGTTACCTCAAAGCCTACCTGTGGGGAATTCACAGAGAATGTGGGGAAGGCCGCTATCCGAGAAAACAAACATATAAATGTTTTTCCTTGTTGATTGTTTACACTGTAGAGTGGATGCAGTTTGACTCCGCTTTGACTGCCATCGTTCATGGAATTGCGGGAGTTGAGTTGTTGTAGGTTTTTTCGGGCTATACTTCCATGTTCTAGAGGCATTCTCCCCTGACATTTCGCCTGCATCTATGGCAAGCATCCTCAGAGGTTGTGAGGTCTGTTGGAACTAGGAAAAAGGGTTTATATATCTGTGGAATGACCAGAGTGGGACAAAGGACCCTTGTCTGCTGGAGCTAAGTGTGAATGTTTCAACTGACCACCTTGATTAGCATATAATGGCCTGACTGTGCCTGGAGCAAACTTTTGTTGAGAGGTGATTAGATGTCCTTGTTTGTTTCCTCTCTGTTGTTTTACTGTAGTAATGCTGGACCACTCTCACAACCACCAGGTCAGACTACACAGAAAAGCCATTGACATCCACAAGAAGCATGTGAACAATTTCAACAGCAAGGAGGAAACCATGAAAATGAACAAACTCTGGCTACCAGCATTAAAAAACTCTAAAATTAAAACAGCAAAACAACAGAGGGGGAAAAAAATCTGGGACATCTAGTCACCTCTCAACAAAAGATTGCCCCAGGCACTGCCAGGCCATCAAATGCAAAGGACTCTTGTCTGCTGGAGCTGGGTGTGAATGTTTCAACTGACCACCTTGATGCTTGTGGATTTCAGTGGCTTCTCTGTGTAGTCTAACATGGTGGTTGTGAGAGTGGTCCAGCATTACAACAGCACAACAACAGAGAGGAAACAAACAAGGACATCTAATCACCTCTCAAACAAAAGTTTGCTCCAGGCACTGTCAGGCCATTATATGCTAATCAAGGTGGTCAGTTGAAACATTCACACCTAGCTCCAGCAGACAAGAGTCCTTTGCCCCACCCTGGTCATTCCACAGATATATAAACCCTTTTTCCTAGTTCCAACAGACCTCACTACCTCTGAGGATGCTTGCCATAGATGCAGGCGAAACGTCAGGAGAGAATGCCTCTAGAACATGGCCATATAGCCCGAAAAAACCTACGACAACCCAGTGATTCCAGCCATGAAAGCCTTCGACAATACATTGTGGGAGTTGTCATTTGACAAGGTCTTTAGCCACCACTGCTAAAGAGTACTTGGTTCCTCACCAAACTACACATCCCAGGATTCCATAGCACTGAGCCAAAGCCATTCAAAAGCAATATCAAGCTGCATTAATATTGTAGTATAGATGCACCCTCAGAGCAAGGTTTCTATGGTTTGATCTGTTGGATCAAAATGAAATCACAATTCATCTCCATCTATCCATGTGGTCAAGAGTTATTGCCTCACTCATCAAATGCAAGATTCCAGAGCCAAGTTTTCGCCAGCTTTCTAAAAGTCAGGAGAGAAGGGGCAGTTCTGATCTCCAGTGGGAGAGAGTTCCAGAGCCGAGGGGCCACCACCGAGAGGGCCCTGTCCCTCGTCCCCATCAAACGCGATTGCAAGGGTGGTGGGACCGAGAGCAGGGCCCCTCCAGAAGATCTTAGCAGCCTTGATGCTTCATAGGGGAGAATCTGTTCGGACAGGTAAACTGGGCCGGAGTCGTTTAGGGATTTATAGGTCAACACCAGCACTCTGAATTGTGCTCGGAAGCTCACTGGCAGCCAGTGGAGCTGGCGCAACAGAGGAGTGTATGCTTCCTGTACCCCGCTCCTGTTAGTAATCTGGCTGCCGCTCGTTGGACTAATTGCAGCTTCCGGGCAGTCTTCAGAGGCAACCCCACATAGAGAGCGTTGCAGTAGTCTATACAGGATGTAACCAGAGCGTGGACCACCATGGCCAAGTCATCTATTGTCCGAAGGCCTGGTCCCAGAACCATGATTTTTTTTAAAAGCCAGGAGTGAGGGAGCGGATCTTACCTCATTTGGGAGTGTGTTCCATAGGCAGAGGGGCCACAGCCGAGAAGGCCCTGTCTCTCGTCCCCGCCAGACACATTTGTGCTGTTGACGGGAGTGAGACCTGGGCCTCCCCGGATGATCTTAGATGACGAGGTGGGATGTAGGGGTGGATGCGTTTGGACAAATAAGCTGGGCCAGAACCGTATCGAGCTTTATAGGTAAAAACCAGCACTTTGAATTGGATGGGACATCTAATCACCTCTTAACAAAAGATTGCCCCAGGCACTGCCAGGCCATCAAATGCTAATCAAGGTGGCCAGTTGAAACTTTCACACCTAGCTCCAACAGACAAGAGTCCTTTGTCCAACCCTGGTCATTTCACAGTTATATAAACCCATTAAATCTACAGTGTCGATGCACCGAAAGGCCCGTGTGGATGCTGAATGCACCAATACCATTGCTTCACAGCACCAAGCAGAAGGAAAGACAGGCAGGTGAAGATGGGTCTCTGCAAGAAGTGGAATCCCTAGCAAAGCTGGCTCTTTTCTTTACATCTTCCCCCCCCCCCCTCCTTCCTGTTGCGGTGGTTTGTGCAAAGCCATGAATCATGCATCCCACAGTTGGCATGCAGAGAGGGAAAACATCTAAGTAGCCAGTCCTTGGGTGCGGAAGGAAGGAAGGACATGGTTGCATTGTGTGCATGGCCTTGGTCAGGCCGAGGGTTCACACCCAGAACTGCTGCTGAGCCTGTTTGCTTTTGCAATTGAAGCCTTGGGTTGCTGTGAGCTTTTTGGGCTGCATGGCCATGTTCCAGCACGATACTCTCCTGATGTTTTGCCTGCATCTGTGGCTGGCATCTTTAGAGGTCTGTTGGACAATGAGGTAAGTGGGGTCTGACCTCTCTGCCGTCTTGGGTTTCCCTTCACGGTTTCGCTCATGGCATCTTTGAGGTGCTCAAGCTCCAGTGCCGTGACAAGGCAGCGATCCTTTACTGAAGGGGGAGATGGTAGACATGTCTAAATATCTGGAAGGAGGCCCCATTGAGGAGGAAGAAAAATGTAGTCGTTATGGGGAGCCCTCTCAGCATGGTCATAGCTAATTTCTACATGGAGCACTTTGACAAACAAGCCCTGGAAACAGCAACCAAAAAGCCCACGATAGGGTTCAGATACATGGATGACACTTTCACCATTTGGAGCCATGGAGAAGAGGAACTCAACAGGTTCCTGGACCATCTCAACAGCATCCACCCAAACATCCAGTTCACCATGGAAAAATAAAAGGAAGGAAGACTGCCTTTTCTAGATGTCCTAGTCATCCACAAACCAGATCAACAATTGGGTCACACCGTCGACAGAAAACCCACACACAGAGAGATATCTCTACACAAAAGCTCCAACCATCACCCAAGTCAAAAAAGAAGCACCATTAAAGCCTTGGCAGACCGTGCAAAAAGAATCTGCGAAGCCCACCTCCTCCAAGATGAACTGAACCCCCTCAACTGGGCTCTCCAGGCCAATGGAGACTCCACCTCAGACATCAGAAGAGCTGCAAGACAACCGAGAAGAAGCCACGAGAGTAAAGACCAAGATCCACCCAGAGGAGAAGGGTTCTTGCCGTACATCAAGGGAACCACTGACCGCAGAGGGAAGCTGAGGAGGAAACACAACATGCAAACTATCTCCAGACCCACCAAGAAAATCCAACCAATGCTCCATTCAGCAAAGGACAAGAGGGATCCTCTCACCTCTGCAGGAGTCTCCCGGATTATAATTATAATACTTTATTTATACCCCGCTACCATCTCCCAAGGGACTCGGTGTGGTTTACATAAGGCCGAGCCCACAGTACATCAGTAAAAACAATAACAGTAATACATAACAATAAAATAAAACCCATAAACAGAAAATAAACAGCAAACATTAACAGTAACGCAATGACGTTTAAAAACCTATAGCTGGGCCAGATGTAATAATTAAAATTGTAAAATAATGCTGAGCGTGACCAGGTGAAATATAACTAAGATAAAATTTTCAGAGAGGAATGGGCGAGCAGACATTCCTAGATCACTAATAAAATGCATTGAAGGACATATTGCTGGGAGTTTCCTTATTCTGGGAAGGCACACTGGAACAACCATGTTTTCAGGCTCCTCCTAAAGACTGCCAAAGTTGGGGCATGCCTGATGTCCTTGGGGAATGAGTTCCAGAGTCGAGGGGCCACCACTGAGAAGGCCCTCTCCCCACCAATCATGCCTGCAAAGGAGGCGGGAGCGCGAGCAGGGCCTCCCCAGATGATCGAAGAGATCGTGTGGGTTCATACACAGAAATGCGGTGACGCAGGTAGGCAGGTCCCAAACCGTTTAGGGCTTTGTAGGTAAGCACCTGCACCTTGAATGAACGGCAGCCAGTGGAGCTCCTTAAACAGGAGGATTGCCCACTCCCTGAAAGGAACACCAGTTAACAACATGGCCGCCGCCCGTTGAACCAATTGAAATTTCCAGGCCATTTTTAAGGGTAGCCCCATGTAGAGTGCATTACAGTAGTCCAATCTGGAGGTGGCTAAGGCATGGACCACCCTGGCCAGATCCGCCACATGCACCTGTGGACAAGTCTCCATAGGGACCACCAAACGCAACAGCATTGCCCAAACACGCATTAAGGAACACGAAAGGCACTGCAGACTACTTCAACCAGAGAAATCAGCCATAGCAGAACACCTGATGAACCAACCTGGACACAGCATGTTATTTGAGAACACAGAAGTGCTGGACCACTCTCACAACCACCATGTCAGACTACACAGAGAAGCCATTGAAATACACAAGTATGTGGACAGTTTCAACAGAAAGGAGGAAACCATGAAAATGAACAAAATCTGGCTA